GCACAAAACCTTTAATACCAACAAGCTCCTAAAAACAACCTATACAGAAACCTGACCCTATAAAAAAATGTTGATCCATGTTTATTATTCCATGTTTATTCATGAATGTTTCGTTTTCATGGAATTTATAACCTTAAATCATAGAAATTTTCATCTCCCAAACACAGATATCTATAAATGTATTATTTTCATAGAATTTTTACGGAGGTCACGAAGAAATAATAGGAATATTCAGATAAAAATTTTTATAGGATGAATATCTTAATGCGCAGTAACTACATAGTAATGATGTAGTAACTATATAGTTACTATTAAATTTAATAGTAACTATTTAGTTACTACATCGTTACCATATAGTTACTGTGTATTAAGATATTCAAGTTTCTGTAAAATGATATTTGAACGCGACGACACTTGAATAGACAACGGTAAACCTGATTATGACAATATGACATCTGAAACTTCAAATGACAACAAAAAAAATTGGTTAGTAAAGAGTAAAAACGAAAAATAAACTGATGCAAATAAAAAATCTATCCATACATAATGTCAACCCTTGTAACCTGCAACATCATGATTAACAATATTCTAAACAGAATTTTAGCCGATTTTAGAAAAAATCGATCGACCAGAACGAAAAATCGGCTTAGCCGATTTATACGTTATCGTTATAGATTGATTTACTTCGCACTTGCTCACGTGATTTGTAGTTTACCAAAATGCAAGCCTTTATACTTCCCATTAGTAATAACTTACATTCTTTTTTGACATCTTCTTTATACAAAGCCATTTCCACTAGTAAAATTTAAAAGATTCACCATGTTGAATGGTATGATTCGAATGTCATTCAAACTGCCATTCGAATTGCCATACAACACTATCACATGATTTCACGAACATTCATGTTCGTGAAGTCGTGGAATATTGTTAAATAGCAGTTTGAATGATATTCGAATCATGCTATTCTATATAGTTAATCGTTAGCTCTTGGTTTTTACTACTTTACAGAAACTTGAATATCTTAATACACAGTAACTACATAGTGACTATATAATTTAATAGTAACTATATAGTTACTACATCGTTACCACATCGTTACCACATTGTTATCATATAGTTTACTATGCATTAAATATTCAGGTTTCTGTATAGTAGTTCCTTTCTATTATTTTGTATAGCTAAAATATTCAACCGGGTAAAATTCACCACCCAAATTTTTTTCAGATTACGCGATATGATTTATTGAGTATCGTTATTCTAACTTAGAATAATGTAATGAACTGATGCTTTTTTAAAATCATATCGCATGATCTGAAACAAATTTGGGTGGTGAATTTTACCCGGTTACTAATAGTCGATTACAGCTGTTTTTATAATTCTTGGGACATCTGTAAAAAATTAGCCAGGTAATTTTTCAGCCGATCCGGTTATTATTTCGGCATAATAGATTCAGTAAAAGTTGGTACATATGTAAGTATGTATGTACGTACATATAACTATTATGTACATATGTTATGTATCTGTTATAATTATTGCACAGGTATTTAGTAAAGTAGTACTGTATGGCAGTCCAAATTTGGATGGACATACAAAAATTATACCAACTTTTGATCATACATACGGTTAATAAAGACTTGCAAGTTTCACTTTTTATAAATCGCTTTTTGATGGTTAGGGTTAGAGTAAGCGCTAGTATTGTCCTTTTTTCATGTTAGGATTATAGGAAAAGTATTTTGAGTTTTACAACTTTTTTCTTTTACAACCTTACATACTATCATAATTTCTACACGTCCATCCTAATTTACGTTTCCATACCGTACTACTTTACTATATACCCAATAAAAAATTGGACTGTACTTACATATGTATAACAGTTGTATGTACGTACGTAACAATTTTTATTGAATCTATTATGCCGAAATCATAACTTAATCGGATCGGCCGAAAAATCATTCGAAAACTTTTGCATGACGAATAATTTTTGCATGACGAATAATTTTGCATGACAAAATTTTTTGGTAATTTTTCATGACGAAACTTTTTGTAATTTATTTTTTAAAAGAAATTTTTTTCTTTTATTTTATAAATTTTTTTTTTTTCAAAATATTACTTTCTAAAAAAAAAAAAAAATGAATCCTAAAAAATGAAGAACTCCTTCTCGAACTGAATCATTTTCCTCAACCTATCCTGTCCAACAACCTCAATCATCAACCTACCTGGTTCAATTCTAATCATCGCCCCAGCCTGTTCAACAGCCTGTTCAACAGCCTGTTCAGCAGCCCATTCAACAGCCCGTTCAGCAGCCCATTCAACGGCCCATTCAACAATTTTAATCTTCACCCCAGCCTGTTCAACTACCGCCCGTTTAACTGTCACCCGTTCAACAATTTCAATCTTTACCCCAGCCCGTTCAACTGCCCGTTTAATGGCATTCCTACTCTGTCCAACCCATTCAATCAACTTCTCAACCTGTTCAACCGTTCTAATCCTCTGTTCGACAACTCTGGTCCTGGTCCCAGTCTCAACCCATCCAACCTCAACCACAATCTCAACCACAACCTCAACCACAATCTCAACCACAATTTCAATCACAATCTCAACCAATTTCGCAACCAGTATCATATGAAATTCAAAGTTCACCTGTCACTTCTGGTATTATTTTTAAAAAACATTAACATCTATAAAAGAATCAAGCTTTTAGTAACTACATAGCGATGATATCGCGACGATATCACGACGATATCGTAACGATATCGTAACGATATTGTTGCTATGTAGTTACTAAAAGCTTGATCAGTTTTTTTTTTTTTATTAATTAATAAAAAAAAAAAACTGATCAAGCTTTTAGTAACTACATAGCAACAATATCGTTACGATATCGTTACGATATCGTCACGATATCGTCGTGATATCGTCGCTATGTAGTTACTAAAAGCTTGGTCAGTTTTTTTTTTTTTTATTAATTAACTATACGGAAACCTGAATATCTTAATGCGCAGTAACTACATAGTAACTATGTAGTAACTACATCATAACTATCTAGTAACTATATAGTCACTATGCAGTTACTGTGCATGAAGACATTCAAGTTTCTGTAAAGAATAT